GTGTGTGCGTGCACCCATGTGTCTGTGCACTCCTCTCTCTTATTTTATTTTAGATGGAGTCTCTTTCTTCCTCCCAGGATGGAGTGCAGTGGCGTGATCTCAGTTCACTGCAATATCTGCCTCCTGGGTTCAAGCAATTCTCCTGCCTCAGCCTTCAGAGTAGCTGGGACTACAATTGGGTTTCACTACATCCGGCTATTTTTTTCTATTTTTAGTAGAGATGGGGTTTCACCCTGGATGGTCTCAAGGCCAGGATGGTCTCGATCTGACCTCATGATCTACTTGCGTTGGTTTCTCAAAGTGTTGGGATTATAGCATGAGCCACCATGCCGGGCCTCCTCCCTCTTACTAGGAGTGTGAGTTGCCTCTGAGGCTAAGCATGGAGCTGTGGGATCACGGGAAGGTGAGATTGGCCTGAAGTCCTCATGGGCTGCGATTTATAAAGGCATCCAGGGCTTGCCACAGACTCCCACTGAAGCTGGGAAGAGCCAGCTACAACCTGGGTCCAAGAAGAAATCACAAGAAAATTTAAAAATATTCAAGTCAATTAAATGACAACAAACATACTACATCAAAATTTGTGGGTGCAGCTAATGCAGTATTTAGAGGAAATGTTATAGTTTTAAATATTTATAATTTGAAAAAAAAGAAAAGTTTCAAATCAATGACCTAACATCGCACCCTATGAAGCCTGGAAAAAAAGAGCAAAGTAAACTAAAAATAAATAGAGGTGGTAGGTGTCCATGAGCATGGCCTCCCTGGCTCTCACTCTTTCACTCCTTACTGCCCCTCAGTGTCCCTCAGTGTCAAAGTGCAGTCTCTGGCACATCCTTTCTTGAGGGAGGAGGCAGCATAGTGCAGGGAGCCTCTTGCCATGGTTGGGCATTGGGAGATTGAGAGGGAACATGACTGTATGTGCTGGGATAACAGGTCTTTTAAAGCCCAAACTCCACAAGTTGGTGGCTTTTACCAATAGGAATCTTTTCAACCTGGACCATTTTCTTTTTGAGAAAAGGAGTAAGATTGAGGAAGCACCAAAATACTCCCTAAAATCCTCCTAGCCTTGCCCTGCTTTATTACTACTACTATTATTATTATTTATTATTATTATTTAGTGCTTAATAGGAGAATGCTGAAGGGAAAGTTAGCAGGGCATGCACCCCTGGTTCAGACAGAACTGGAAAAAAAAAAAAGGATTTTAGTATTCCAAAACTCCAGAAAATGAAGAAAAGAAAGTACTTTATATTTCAAGAATCAAAGAAGAATACAGTATACTAATCTCTCTTCTGATAGTGAAGATGTTGTTTAAACAGATTGCTACAATACAGCTCAAGAGAAAAATTCAACAAAGACACAATGATTATTGTCTCTGAACCATCTGAAGATGGAGTCCCAAGACCTTCCTACCATAGCAAGTAGAAATAACACTTCAGAATTAGGTGTTAAAGATGCCATACTTCAAGGCTTGAAGAATTTTTTTCCAAGAAGTGACAATGATTTTATTAAGGTTATACCCTTTTATGGTAATTGGTTGTTGTAGCTGTAATGATGATTAAAATATCTCCTATATCCAGTGCTATTTTTGGATAGCAGTTTTTCTAGAAATATCTGATATTTAAAGATAAGTACTGAATATTACTTTATGTAATTAAATAAATGCAAATACCAGAGATTAAATGAAGGATATATTAATGTTGAGAGCACACATAAATTAAATGGAAGACAGATAAATAGGAGATAAAATGAACAAAGTCAAAGTTCATTTTTAAAAATATGAACAAAATTGATAAACCCCTAGTTAGGCTGATCACACGAAAAAGATAGAGGTCACAAATTAGCAATATCAGTAGAGAAAGAGGGGTTAACACTAGCTATTCTTGAAGATATTTGAAGGATAATCAGAGAATATTATATCAACTATATGTAAACAAATTTAATCTCTTGGATGAAATGGGCAAATTCCTTTAAAATACAACTTTAAAAATCTCTCAGTGTATTAAACAAAATCTAAATAGCCTTATGTTTATTAAATGATCTGAATTTGCTACAAAAACCCACCCCACAAAGAAAACTCTACTGGTAAATTCTATCAAACACTCAAGGAAAAGATTATGCCAATCTTACACAAACTATTTCTGACAATAAAGGAATAGTTCTCGATTCATTTTATGAGGCCAGGATAACTCCAATAATAAAACTTGAAATAGTGTTGCAAACAAAATTTAAAAATCAATGTGCCTCATGAAGATATATGCCAAAATTCTTAATGTAATGTCAAGTCAAATCCAATAGCATGTTAAAGGATAATACTTTATGACCAAGTGTGGGGCTTTAACCAGGAATACAAGGTTGTTTTAACATTTGAAAATCAATCAGTGTAATTCACCATATTAGAATAATAAAGGTGAGCTCTCTAGATTCCACCTCTCTGGGCAGGATATCTATGAAGGAAAGGCAGCAGCCTCAGTTGGGGGCTTACAGATAAAACTCCCATCTCCTTGGGACAGAGCACCTGGGGGAAGAGGTGGCTGTGGGCACAGCTTCAGCAGACTTAAATGTCCCTGCCTACTGGCTCTGAAGAGAGCAGTGGATCTCCCAGCACAGTGCTTGAGCTCGGCTAAAGGACAGACTGCCTCCTCAGGCAGGCCCCTGACTCCAGTGCCTCCTTAAGGGGAGACACCTCATACAGGAGAGCTCCAGCTGGCATCTGGTGGCGCCTCTCTGGGACAAAGCTTCCAGAGGAAGGAGCAGCCTCTGCTGGTGATACCCAGGTGAACAGGGTCTGGAGTGGACCTCCAGCAAACTCCAACAGACCTGGAGAAGAGGGGCCTGATTGTTGGAAGAAAAACTAACAAACAGAAAGCAATAGCATCAACATCAACAAAAAAGGATGACCATGCAAAAACCCCATCCGAAGGTCACCAACATCAGAGACCAAAGGTAGATAAATCCATGAAGATGAGGGGAAAAAACAGTGCAAAAGGCTAAGAATTCCAAAAACCAGAATGCCTCTTCTCCTCCAAAGGATCACAACTCCTTGCCAGCAAGGGAACAAAACTGGATGGAGAAGGAGTTTGACAAGCTGACAGAAGTAGGCTTCAATAGGTAGATAATAACAAACTCCTCTGAGCTAAAGAAGCATGTTCTAACCCAATGCAAGGAAGTTAAGAACCTTGACATAAGGTTACAGGAAGTGCTAACTAGAATAACCAGTTTAGAGAAGAACACAAATGACCTGATGGAGCATGAGAACTTCATGAAGCATACACAAGTATCAATAGCCAAATTGATCAAGTGGAAGAAAAGATATCAGAGATTGAAGATCAATTTAATGAAATAAAGTGTGAAGACAAGATTAGAGGGGGAAAAAAGAGTGAAAAGGAATGAACAAAGCATCCAAGAAATATGGGACTATGTGAAAAGACCAAACCTACATTTGATTGGTGTCCCTGAAAGTGATGGGGAGAATGGAACCAAGCTGAAAATTACACTTCAGGATATTATCCAGGAGAACTACCTTAACCTAGCAAGACAGGCCAAAATTCAAATTCAGGAAATACAGAGACCACTACAAAGATACTCCTCGAGAAGAGCAACCCCAAGACATTTAATCATCAGATTCACCAAGGCTGAAATGAAGGAGAAAATGTTAAGGGCAGCCAGAGAGAAAGGGTAGATTACCCACAAAGGGAAGCCTATCAGACTAACAGGCAATCTCTCTGCAGAAACCCTATAATCCTGAAGAGAGTGGGGGCCAATATTCAATATTCTTAAAGAAAAGAATTTTGAACCCATAATTTCATATTCAGCCAAGCTAAGCTTCATAAGTGAAGGAGAAACAAAATCCTTTACAGATAAGCAAATGCTGAGGGATTTTGTCATAACCAGGCCTGGCTTACAAGAGCTCCTGAAGGAAGCACTAAATATGGGGAAAAAAAACAGTAACAGCCACTGCAAAAACATAACAAAATGTAAAGACCATCATCACTATGAAGAAACTGCATCAACTAATGGGCAAAATAACGAGCTAGCATCAAATCACAGGATCAGATTCACACATAGCAATATTAACCTTAAATGTAAATGAGCTAAATGCCCCAATTAAAAGACAAAGAGTAGCAAATAGGATAGAGTCAAGACCCAATGGTGTGCTGTATTCAGGAGACCCATCTCGCATGCAAAGACACACATAGGCTCAAAATAAAAGGATGGAGGACGATTTACCAAGCAAATTGAGAGCAAAAAAAGCAGGGGTTGCAATCTTAGTCTCTCATAAAACAGAATTTAAAACAACAAATATCAAAAAGGACAAAGGAGGGCAATACAAAAAGGTAAAGGGATCAATGCAACAAGAAGAGTTAACTATCCTAAATATGTATGTACCCAATACAAGAGCACCCATATTCATAAAGCAAGTTATTAGAGACCTAGAAAGAGACTTAGACTTATCCTTTATCTCCAAAATTACTTAGAAACTTAAATTTCTAAATCATGTTAGGGTGCTACTTTTAGTTGTTGTTCATTTCTATTTTTACTGCATTGTACTGAAAAAAAAAATTAGAGAGAGCCTGAATATTTTCCTCCGAGAATTTGTTGCAATTTTCTTTGTAGCCATATATACAGTTCACTAAAAATATTACACAAATCTTAGAAAATAATGCATAGTATCTTTGTGGGAGAAAACATTATTTATCTATGGCTATTAATGAAATCTGTCAGTTTATTTTCCAGCCCTCTATAAAAGTGTTTCTGGAACACTGAAATATAACATAGGACTTAACTAAACAAAATAGGGATTGTGTATACAGTGAACAATTTTCATTATCCTACTAAAATTTATGTGTACTTCAAAAGGCTTTTTATTATAAGCAAACATATACATTTTAATAAATTATCTCTGAAAATAACTTTCTAAATATGTCTTTAAAAAACAAACCTTGGTTTTGAATGAACACTTCCATTATCACTTTAAATAACACCTTTGGTAGATTATAAGAATAGTCTTTCTTCTCAGTACAAATAGTATAATATTAAGTAAATTAGTGTTTTTCCTGAAGTTATTCCTCACATAACAATCCTAGAGTTTCTTGTATGTATTTGCTTATGTTTAGTAAGAGCTGAGCTTAAGCTGAAGGATTTCCCACATTCATTACACTGGTAGGGTTTCTCTCCTGTATGCATCCTCTGATGTCAAATTAGTGAAGTTCTATAGCAAAACAATTTCTGACATTTATTACATTGATAGGGTTTCACACCAAAATGAATCTTTAGATGCTCATTAAGGTGTGTACTTCGACTGAAGGTTTTTCCACATTCTTTACAACCATAAGGCTTCTCTCAGGTATGAGTTCTCTGGTGTTCAGTAAGATGTGCACTCTGATTGAAGGCCTTTCCACATGCATTACACTCATAAGGTTTTTCTCCAGTATGAATTCTTTGATGTTGAATGAAGGCTGGGGTATGGCTGAATGCTTTCCCACATTCATTGCATTGATATGGTTTCTTTCCTGTGTGGGTTCTCTGATGTTGGATTAGTGACGTACTGTGACAGAACACTTTCCAACATTCCTTACACTGGTAGGATTTTTTCCCCAGAATGAATTCCCTGATGTTCAATTAGGTGGGTGCTGTGGCTGAAGGTTTTTCCACATTCAATACATTCATAGGTTTCTTTCCAGTGGGAATTCTATGATGTTGAGTAAGGGCAGAGATATGACTGAAGGCTTTCCCACCTTCATTACAAGGATAGGGTTTTTCTCAAGAATGGATTCTATCATGATTTCTAAGGGATGACCTAGGACTAAAGGCTTTTTCACATTCATTATGCTCATAAGGTTTCTCCCCAGTATGGACTCTTTGATGCTGAATAAGATTAGTGCTCTGACTAAAAGCTTTCCCAAATTCATTGCATTCATAATGTTTCTCTCCAGTATGTATTCTTTGATATTGGATAAGATTAGCATTCCAGGTGAAGGATTTACCACCTATTTTACATTCATAAGGTTTCTCTCCAACATGTGTTTTCTGATGCTGGATCAGGGATTCAATACAAGTGTAGCCTTTCCCACATTCAGTACAGAGGTATGGTTTCACTCTCATACAAATTTTCTCAGATTCCATCAGTACTGGACTATGTCTTTACATTTATTTATTTTTAAATTTTTGTGGGCATGTAAAGATGTTGGCTTTACATTTATTTCCAGAATAACTAATATTTGAGATACTAATGCAACCTTTCTTATATCTGATAAATTATTTTTCAATCATGAGTTGCCTTTTGAAAATATCAACTACAGCAGAGTTATGCTTCAGGTTCCTACCATTGATGTTATAGTTGCAGTAGTCCTGCCTTATCTACAGCTCCACTTTCCATGATTTCAGTTATCCATGGCCAATTGTGGTCAAAAATTATTACATGGAAAATTCCAGAAATAAACAATTTATAGCTTTTAAATCGTGTGATTTTCTGAGTACTGGGATGAAATCTTGTGTGATCTGCTCTGTCCTGCCTGGGATGTGAATCATCTCCTTGTCCGGTGTATCTACAGTATATATATCACCCACCCATTAGTCATTTGGTAGCTCATATTAACAACCTGGTTAGGATTTGGTACATCAGTGATTTCAGGTATCCTCTGAGTGGTCTCAGAGTGTACCCCCCATGAATAAGTGAAGACTATTGTATGAGGTCTTTTTCTTATAAAAACTCTCAGCTGTTTAAAAAGCTTTGGTCTTTGATTAAATGTTTCCCCAAAGTTGTTATATTCATGATCTTCCTTTTGAATTGCTTTTTCTTGTAAGCAATTACTGGTGTTTCTCAAATTGGTCTTCAAATTCCAGTTCTTTTAATGTGCACTATTAGGAACCATCATTTGAAAAAAAAATTCTAACATCATATGATGGCATTATTTGGTTTTCAGAAATTTTCTGCTTTGGAGTAGATGCTCTGACTTTGGATATAGTATCCAGGATTAAGTAGAAGATATTATCTCTTTCCTCTGAAATACAAAGGCAGAAAATAAGATTCACTCACCAGTTACAGAAAATAGAAATAAAACAGTGCTATGATAAAAGGTAAGAATTTTCAATATAGGTACTGATTAATAGGGAAGTTTAAATGTGAAATGAATCCATATATATGTCTGAAAAACACAGTTTCTCTACTCACAACATTTCTGACAAACTGTATAGCAAGAGCAACCTTTTTCTTTTCTATGACTAATACTTAGAACACTTCTGTGTGCAAATGTGCGGGTTTTTTCCCCATTCTTACCAATTCTCCAACTCTCTGGACAGCAACTGGATGTCCTACAATTTACTTTAATTCCAACACTACCTACCTGGAATAAGCATTATATACCTCAAGTTAAAGGGCTTAGTCCCACAAGACTCCCTGCACTTCAGATGATAATCACAAACTGGTCCTCCCATACTTCTGACCAACTGGCTATAAGTTGAGGGTTCTTACAACTCCTGCCTCCTCTAGTTCAATAATTTGCTAGAATGGCTCACAGAACACAGGAAAACACTATACTGACATTTCCTAGTTTATTATAAAGGATACAACTCAGGAACAGCCATTAAGAAAGAGATGCACAGGGCAAGGTAGGCAGAAGGGAAAGGGGTACAGAGAAGAGCTTCCATGCCATCTCTGGGCATGCTACCCTTTCAGCACCTTGATGTGTTCACCAACATGGAAGCTCATCAAATATCACTGTTCACGAGTTTTTACAGAGCTTGATCTCCATCCTCACATCTTCCTTCCCAGAGGCTGGTGGGTGGAGTTGAAAGTTCCAACCCTCTAGTTGCTTGGTCTTTTTAGTGATCAGACCCATTATTGAGGCTATCTAGGGGCCCTACCCTATTTCACCTTATCCACATAAACTCAGGTATAATTTTTTAAAAGGTGAATTATGAAAAACAAAAGATATTCCTATCAGGAAATTTGGAGGGCTTTCAAAGCTCTGTGACAAGAATTGGAAATAAAGACTAGATATATTTTGTATGATATTATGATATGTGTGATAAAAGACATGGTAGCATTAAGACAAAGTGCATAATAAAATCAAAGGTAAATATTCAGTGAAATAAATGTTGTGACTAAAAGACAATGGAACTAATTCAAATGTATGTATGTTTTTGGAAAGCAGAGGCAAAAAACAAGAAAAGTGAAATGGGATCAGATACTAAAAAACTCTCACACTTAAAAAGAGAAATTCAATGTCATCTAGCAGGAGACAGGAAAACTGAAGTTTTCTGTCAGTGCATTAATATGATAAATATACATTAGATGTGATGTTTTGGATAAAGAGCTTATTAATTTCATCTAAAATGTGTAAGACAGCAATGGTCAAACTCAGCAAGAAAGCATATTATGAATGATACAAGCCTGGATGGGGATAATACTAGTAAGAATTCGGTATAAGTGTAGATAAGACATAAAAAAGAAGAAACAAAAAGTGCTGAAATAGATTACAGGAAACTTTTGCAAAACAAGATTAATAAAGATACAATGGTTTCTAGCCAAGGAGGCTGAAAGAATAGTGGTACTAATAATAGAAAAAGCAGCAAAGAGAGGCAACTCAGGATAAGTTGGTGATTTTACTTTCACCATATTGAGGTTAAAGTGATTTAAAGTGAAGTATGACATTCTAATGGAGATAGACTCTAAGCAGGGAAATATATGAAGATAGAATGTAAATGAGACACTTAAGTTAAAAAAAATTACGTAAGAAAGTTAATAACATGGAAGGACTATTTGAGGATGTTGGAATCCCTAATTTTTTGAGATGAAAATAAGTAGAAAATAAACCATAAAGGCACATGCATTTATGTTAGGGAGCAGTGAAGTTAACAAAAAAGCATTTGGAAAGAGATTAGAATGGAAAAGAATCTGGTGACATCACACATGCTAAAACAAAATATCAAACATGGCAGAAAGTCTGAACACAGAAAGGACTAAGAATGGGTTGCTATCAAGAAGGAATTCAAGAATCTCTTAAAATAATTATAGCAGAAGACAAGAATCTAACTCTAAAAGAGAAAAGGAAATGAAGATATTAGCTAACCTCAATACCAGTGTGACCTTATTTGGAAACAGGATCACTGCAGATGTAATTAGTTAAGGTGAGTTCACACTAGAATAGGGTGGGTTCCTAATCCAATGTGGCTGGTGCCCTTTTAAGAAGACGGTCGTGGGAAGACCCATAGACATACAGAGAAAAGAAAGTCAAGTGATGAAAGGGCAGAGAATGGAGTTATGTAGCTGAAAGCTAAGGGATACCAAAGATTTCCAGCAAACCACCTGAAGCTAGGAAGAGGCAAAGAATGACTTCCCTATGGGTTTCAGAGGCAGGATGACCTTGCTGACAGCTCGATTTTGTAATTTTAGCCTCAGAACCATGAGATAACAAATTTCTGTTGTTTTGAGTTACCTAATGTGTGGTATACTGCTAGGGCAGTGATACGAGACTAATGTATACCCCAACTTAACTGACTAAACGTTCACTAAAAACTAAATGCTTGTGTCCCCCCCAAAATTTGTATGTTGAAACTTTAGCCCCTAAGGTGATGGTGTTAGGTGAAGCCTCTGGGAGGTAATTAGGTTATGAGGATGGCTACCTCACCAATGGGATTAGTGCCCTTATAAGAGGAGACATGAGAGAAATGATCTTTCTCTCTGTCATGTGAGGAAACAATAATATGGCCATCTGTAAACCAGGAAGAGGGCCTTCAGCAAGAACCTGACCATGATGGCACTCTGATTTTGGATTTCCAGACTCCAGAACTGTGAGAAAAAAATGTTTGTTGTTTAAGCCACCCAGTCTACAGTATTCTGTTACAGTAGCCCAAACTGACTAAAACACCTATATAAGACATATTTTTCAAAAAGAAAAAAGATGAGGATTGAGGGTGGGGGACTTGCCCATACTAGATATCCAAACATATTCTATAGCTATATTAATTTTAAAACAGCATGGTACTGGCACAGGGATAGACTGAAAGAATAAGAAAATGAAGCTGAGTCTAGAAATAGGCCCATTATTTTGTAGGGATTTAATATATGATAAAGGTAGCATTTCAAATTATTTGAGGAAGGATAAACATTTAATAAATAATCTTAGGACAACTGGCTTATCCACTTAGGGAAAAAATAAAGCCACTGCCTTATAAAAACTAATTATAAGTGAATTAAAGACTTAACTAGAAATATAAAAGAACCAGGAAAACTATCAGATGAGTATTTTTATAATCTTGCAGTGGGGAAATCCTTAATAAAATATAGAATCTGGAGGCTACATAGAAAAAAACTTACGGATTTGACTATACAAACATGGAAGGCAAGCAACAAAATTTTAAAAAGACATATTCGGGCTAAATAGTTGCAACTAATAAAGCATAAAGGACAATTTTCTGTATTATATAGAGTATCTACAAATCAAATAGGAAAAATGTTTAATGCAATACAAATCTGGGCAAACAATATGAACAGGAAATTCACAAAAGAAATACAAATGATCAATATACAAAAAGATTTTCAAGCTCACTTCTAATCACAGAAACACAAATTAAGATATCAATTTTCATTCATCAGATTGGCAAAAATATTAACAACAGGCAATATTCAGTACTGTTTTAAATACTGGGGAAATGGCTGCTCTCACTCTTAGTGGAAAAAGTTTATTTCTATTTATTTATTGTAAAGTCACATTAAAATCACACCAGGTTCATGATAAATTACCTTTGAGCCGTACACATTGTTCATAATGTTATATTACCTGCAAAAATGAACTCACAGCCCCTTGTACTTTTTCTCTTATTACATCATCACATTCATTGTACGTCAATGTTCTACTTCCAATGTCTGTCTGCCTTCCTAAACTATAAGCTTCTTGAGAACAGGACAGTCCTCTTCTGCCCTGACAGTTACTATTCTGTCTTCAGTGCCACACACAGAACCTGGCTTTCACTATGCATCTAGTAAATATTACTTGAATGAATGTATAAATAGACTTCTCTTGATTCCCAATTCAGTAGTCTTTGCACCTAAAATAGGAATTCAGCAGGACTAGTTTATAAGACAATGAGTCACGTGAAACCACTGATAAGACAGGAGAAAGTAAAAAACAGGTAACAAGACCCTGCCGGTAAGAGGCATATAGTAAAGAAACAGCCTATTTCTCTAAAAGCTCAAGCATGAAAAATTAATCCAAAAAAAGAAAAGAAAGAAACCAGCCTAAACTGGCTAGAATCAAGATGGTAATGAAAGCAACCTTCCCCGCTCATTATATGCTAATTGTAACACATTAGCATGCTAAAATACACTCCCACCAGAGCCACGACAGTTTACAATTGCCATGGCAATGCCCAGTGTTACCCTGTAGGGTTTGGACAGGGAAACCCCCAGTTCTGGGAGCATCCCCTCTCCCCAGAAAACTCATGAGTAATCTACCTCTTGTTTAGCATATAATCATGAAATAGCCATAACATAGCCAGCTAACCATACCTGCTCCCCATGCTACTATATCTATGGGGTGGCCCTGCTCTGCCTATGGAGTAGCCACCCTTTTATTTTACTTTTTAATAAACTTGCTTTCACTTTACTCTGTTGGCTTGCTCTTAAATTCTTTCCTGCACAAAGCCAAGACCTCACTTGGCCTCCCAGACTAAGCTTCAGTTTTGGAGTTCACCTTGTGACATATCTGTAACATGCTTCTAGTTAAACCTGTTATCTTAAAGAAGTAGGATTCAAGTCATTACTTTGTTTCCTGTCTCAACAGTCCATGAATCTGTCCAGATTGCCTTATAATATTGCCATATAAACTCCAGGCTTTGATAAGATTTGGGGTACCAAAATGCCATCTAATCTGTCTCTCTTCCACACAGACCTACCTACAGCAAAGCCATTATTAATTACGTTTTTCAAATCAAAATTCATGGAATACCTTCTAACTGCAAAGTAAGGTTATGCTTCTTGTGGCTAGATTTTGTCTTTCTTAGCAAAGACTATGATCATTAAAAAAAAAAATCTCCATGTACTTAGTAGGGTACCCCTGATAGGGTAAATGTTTTAATGAATATTTGATGATTAATGCTCTGCAAGCTATTTATTCTTTCATCCAGTTTAGTTTCAGCAGACTGCCTGTCAGAATTCTAAACTACACTTCTGCTAGTATTGCTGAATCTGCGAGGTTTCTGGGTCACAGTAGCCAGATAGAACTCATGACTAACTCCCCAAAATATGACTGTAGACCCTGTCTTTACAACTTCCTAGTATACCGGTGACCTGACAGCTGTTATGAAAAACCCCTGTGGTTACCATGTTCTCAACTCATAATGATGCCTGCATTCTGCCAGGGAAAATTAGCTGTGAGTATCCTAATCTTTGCCACATTCCTCAGGCCATCCAACTGTGAGTTCCTTGCTCTTTCAAGGCTGACTCTGATGTTGTTCGAACAGTAAAGACAGAAAATAAAAACAAATACCAGAGGCTAGAGGTTCTTGCTCTCTAAAACTCACAAATGATGTCACAATGTCAGTCCATTTGAGTTAGAAAGAGGTTCCGGAAACATTAAGGCAAAGTTCTTTAGTTTGCCCAGGACACATTTCAAGCCAGCGGTAATAAACTGACTTGCCTAAGGTCACCCAGTTAGCCACTGGCAGAGCTAGGACTATAGACTCTCTCCTGTTCTCAAGTTCAGCATTATTTCTCTCCATTTAAAAATGGTCCAAACACTATTTCAGAAAAGAAAATGTAAAGAATGAAAAGGAGAAAAATTTCAAATTATTAGTCAAACTCGGAGAGGAAAAACTTTCTGCATCATTGTGTCAGAATTTTGTATAGAGATTTTCTTGAAAGGGCAATGAACCATTCAAATCACCCGAGTCTTTCTAAAGACATAAATTCTTCATAAATTAAAATTTTAATGATTATCATAAGATTGTATTAATTTTTAATCAGGTACTTAAGTGGAAACATTTTAAGTGGGAAGCCTCATGGTTACAGATGCAAATTACTGCCTACA